TTGCCCAAGACTTTGAGAATAATTAGAATTCAATTTTGGTTCTAATAGTAAGAGACCTGCACACAAGAAAGTCTTGGGTTAAAATAAGAATAACTCTTTAGAAGAATAATTCCTATTATAAATCAATTGATGACAAATTAAAAGAATTAAAAGGTACAAGGACTCTTCCCTTCTTTAGCTCTTCGGTATATGCAAACTTGTGGCGGGGAGTGGGGGGGTAATTCTCGTATAATTAGAATCCAAAGGATTCTAACAGCTTTCTTAAATGAACATCAACTATAATGATTCATATTGGAGAAACCATTTGGTGTTTTAAGTTCTTTGAGAAACGGATTGAATCATGATCAAAATATGGAAGACAATCAAGTAATATATTTTGTTATTAAATTTTTGGACAAAGCCATATTGTTTTTATATTAGCTCGTGGTTCTCACCCCCTATTTTTTTTAATTGTTTGAATAATAGGTTTTTACTGCCTATCTGCATCATTTGCATACAGACGTAGAGAATACGGACGTGGCAAAAGTTTTTCTATGGCAAGACGGTCGTATCAAATATACCTTTTTGCTAATATTTACTATGATCTATAGATTGTCGCTGTAGTAAAATGTACCTTTTATAACCGTCTTTTTAATGTAGTAAAAAGATTTGTAATAAAAATTCTACTAGTGAGTTAATTAAAATTCAACACTGAAATTAGTCGAGTACAATAAAATTAAAAGTCTAACTGTAAAATTAACTTTAGTAGTTTTACAAATTTTATTGCAAGTTTTTTCTTATCGTAATGTTTCCATAAGAACTTTGATTTTAATAACTCAAATTGGGTTAGAAAGACAATTATATTATAAGATCTACAACTTTTATATTTTGAATTCTGAAATCTCTGAATTGAATCAAGGTAACACAATTATATAATTTTATTGCAAAGTTCATTAAAATTATATATATTCCTCGCAATTAGACAATTAATTAAATACAATTTGTTGGCAATAGCTTTCTTGAATGAACATAAACTATAACAATTCATGTTGGATTGAAACCAAGATGAACAAATCCACAAGTTTGGTGTTTTAAATATGGAAGAAAATCAAGTAATATATTTTGTTAATAACTTT